CAGCGGGCTCCGCTCCGCCTGCACCCTCGCATCCCAGGGCTTCCCTATCAGCAGGACTGAGCCGAAGCGGCTCCAAGGCACCCAGCACCTGCCTGTTGAGCAATACTTCTTACTCAGGCAAGAGGGGGAACAAACCCTCCCTCCCCAGATCCCCGAGAGCATAAATACAAACTGTAGCTATGGTGTAAGCATTTAGCGCTGGAATCGCAAATGAATTTGCTTGGCCTTGCACTTCCCACTGCGGCAATCAGCAGCTATTTGCTGTCTGTGATGGCTGCCAAATTTAGTGACCTTTTGGACAGCAGAGAGCCAGGCAGGGCCCTCCCAGGGCTGGCAGAGTTTGCAGTTCTCTCTCCAGGATCCCACTACCTGCCCCAAGCTGAGAAAACCTCAAATTTCTTTTCTGTTTGCGTCCTCTTTCCTCAAAACTCCCCGCTCTCTGAGCTGTCCAGATGTGCTGATATCATCCAGTGGATCTTGCATAACTTCCCTCTTGAAAAAAAAATAAAAAATTAAAAAATAGAAGTGCTGCAGTAGCAGTTCCTATAGAAATTTATTATTTTAATAAGATCCTCTGAAGCACTCAAAACCAAACTAACAGCTGTTCAGAGACCAGTTGTTTCCCCCGAATTCATTGAATTTCTGGGTGAGCATGCACATTTGGGATATGAATTTGAACTCTTCTAAAACCACAGCTCAGAAAACACCCAAACGAGAAACAATACCTTGATGAAGCTGAAAACCGAATAGAGCATTCAGGTCCCTGTTTTCTTTTCCCTCTGGACAGGAGTGAAAAGATCACTGTTTTATTGCTCTGTTACTAATGGCACCAAATAGCTTTAGGAAGGTAACATAAGGAAACCTCCTGTGTTAGATTTAGGGCCAAAATGCAGGGCTAGGCCAGAGTTTGCATTAAGAAACTGCACTGCCCGCATTCTCTTCTGTGGTTCCTGCTCAGCCCCTGTAGGCTTCACTGTGTTACTTCTGACTTAGACCAGGACAGAAGAAAGGGAAACTGATCCCAGCATGGCAGGGATGACCGCAGGACTAGGACAGGACTCTACAAAGCCCTGCCTGTCAGGAAGGCGGCGGATAAGGGTACCTCCATGGGCTCGTACGGCAATGACCAGGCAGTGGATCTGAAACGAACCAAAGGATATATTTTCTTCACACCAAACACAAGTGAGCCATAGAAATTGGCCGTCTGTTTTCAGAAAACTAGGTAACTCGGTGGAATAGGGGCCTGTGGAGGGCTGCACCACCGCTGGCTCGGGAAGCCTTGGAGTCACAGACTGATAGGGGTCTCTCAAGCTATTACTTTCCCTATATCTTATTCTCTTCCTTAGGCATCTGCCTTGGGCTGATGTTGGAAGCTTTTGGGCTGACCCAGGGCAGCTGTTCCCATGCGTGGAAAGGGAGCACAGCAGCATGATGCCCTTCCCATAACAAAAAAATCCAGGCCAGAACAGAGTGCACAAGGGCTTTGAATGGATGCACAAGGGCTTTGAAGGGGATGCAGTGTAGCACTTGGACCCTGGGAGAGGCTGAGCAAGGTGAGACGACCCTTCGGGGCAGGAGTCAGCCCAAAATCTCATGTGCCTTTTTGGTTTCCCAAATGCTGGTTGACACAAACCCTCTAGAATCCCACTGAGGACCTTCTTGGGGTTTGACTTCAATGTACAAGCTTCAAAGACTGGCCAAAATTTCCATTGTTTTTTTGGTTTTTTTTAAAATACAAACAGTTCTCGGGATGGTATTTACCATGCTTAATTTAACTGTATTTAGTGCAGAGACTGTAGAAGATTTTTTTTCTTACACAGACATCCCTAATAACTAATCAGGCTATTTCACCTACTGCCTGGAAAAAGCAAAAAGCATCCTATCATAGGACCTTTTTGTGCAGATTTTTCCATGTTGTACTGTGGTTTATTTTTCAATTAGATGAGTCACTGGACAGCAGGACAGATGCGAAAAGGCTGTTTCCTTTACATTGTAAATTTACATTGATGGAATTTACTTCCCTATTTATCCACATGTCGTTAAGCCCCACCCTTTTTTTATCTAGATCCAAGGAAACACCTCGTATCTTTTGCCATCTAGAAGTCAGCCTACCATGAAGTCACCTGGTTTTGTATATGGCAATTGTAAGAGATGGGACTTTTCCAATTCAGATATGCTTAAGCCATCTTTCTTGAGAGAAAAACTTGTGTATGCATTTAACTTTAAAGGCAACACTAATTCCCAAGGACCTCAGATAGCGATAAGCCTTGCATGGATTTAAGCAAGGCACTGCACAGCTTCCTGAGTAGTCCCTGCATTTCCTCCACACGGGAATTTGAAGATGAACTGAAGAAGGAAGCGTATTGATCTGTCTGCGTAAAGACCTAAGCCCAGAAGAATAAGTATTATTCCTCTCCTGACCAGTGCAAAATGCTTTTAAAGAGCCACTTACGACCCTCTTATTTCAGCCACCGATGGCAGAGGAAACTAGGGAGATGGCGGGACCTGGCTGGAGGCAGAGAGCGTAACCCATCTTTGGGAGAAAGCACAGCATGCACCCATCCTCTGGCTGAAGCCGACGGAGCCTCCACGCAGATGTGCCATTAGTTGGGTTGCTTCCTTCAGAGCCTCGAAATGATGTGAACTGAGTCAGGGCCTGTAAAAGGTATCCTCACGCAGCCTGCAGGGACCATGCTTGCAGTGGAGGTTCTGCATCTCCCCCAGACCTCAGGTCCTTAAGGTATTTCATTTGAGTTATGCGACCACCTCCACAGTCATCTCCTCCAGCTTTCTCCTTTTCCTCCCTATCCCATGCACACCACAGCTATATCTGGCCTCAGTTTACCAGCTGGAATTTTCTTTTTTTCAGGTTTTGTTTGTTCCGCTTTTAGAACTGCATAACCCTTTGGGTCTGCCAGCTGCAGTGAGGGATGAAGAAGTTAAAGGAAGGGGAGCGAAATCAGAGATATTCCTTATTATTTATCGCAAAAGCCTACTGTTTGGATTTAGCGCTGAAAAACTTTCAAGTCGCAAGTCTAACACCCTCATCAAGCAGCACCCTGAAACTACGCGTAGCCCCAGGTACAGCCCAGTGGGAGGAAGGAGCCAGAGCTGCCGGCTAATTACCCAGCCCACCAGAAAAGCTGCTGCAAGCTCTCAAAACACATCCAAGGAGAAAAACAACAAAAGGCAATCTGGCGGGATTGAGAATTAGGGGGAGGAAAAGGAATAGGTTATTTCAGAAGGATTAAAAGGTCAAAGGACTTGACGTGGAGAAGTCAGCCCAAATCCACCCAAAGCTGTTAGCACGGGATCATCTGAAAAACAAATCCAAGGGCTAATCCTTTAGCCTGTTCAGGAGCACAGTGCATGTCAGAGAAGATGTCCCCCCTCCTCCCGGCCTGGCATGTCCTGCTTCAGGGATGGACTGGCGTGGGTGACCCTCCCCAGATGTCCCTCCAGCTCTTACACTGCCTCCCGCTTTGTCCCAGGTTTGCTTCCCCCTTAGGTTGTAAGTACATGGAAACCTGTAGGGGCAAGGAGGAAGCCCAAGGGCAAATTCTTCCTCCCCGTACCAAATACAGGGCACTGTCATTTCTTCCAAGAGGAAGGTATCACGGGAAAGAAAACAGCAAGTCTTCCAAGACTGTTCCCATCTCCTGAAATAGGAGTCAGGGAGCTGTGTTATTCCAGCGTGAGGGGGACATCTGTGAACACACCATGAGTAGGTGGGAGTTGGGGCTGTCTCAGCCATGTCGGGGATGATTTTGACTTTGCACAGCTGTGCGTACCAAATAGTTTGACTCCAAACAGAGGCTGTGTTCTGTTTCCCAGTTGCATAAGAGGAAAAGGAGGGACACAATGAAGGGACGGGCTGGGGACCTCACTGGGTGATATTCCTCACCTCAAAGATGTAAAGAGAAACACCAAGAAGTGCTTTTTTCCACACCTAACAAACTCGGCATACCCTTCTGTTTCCAAGCCCTAATACAGCCCTGCCGCACAGCTGAGGATAGGGAACAGCTCTGTATCATCCAAAGGCATCCTTTGCTCCACACGTGTTTCCAGGACTCGCTCTTGCCCCGGCCTCAGACTTTTCACACAGCCCGGGTTAGCAAAACAGGCTGAGGAGCAGGACAGAAATAGGCACCCGCTCCCACTGCTGGCCCACGAGCCTGCTCGTACCATTTTTCTCTTCTGGCACTTCAGACCAAGGGGTGGAGGCTCGGTTACATCTCTCTCTAGACGACAGGGCTTTTCAGCAGCCTCCAAGCAAAGCAACTGATGGTTTTCTTTGGGATCAGGGGCCCAACCCGCAGCAGCTTTAGACGAACGGGGCTGCCTGCTTTGCCCCCCCGGGCAGGGTGGGCGAGGCGGCTGCTGGCACCGCTCCCCGGGCAAAACCCAGCCGGAGGCTGCTGCTCCCCAGCTCCGGGCATTAAACTTTAGGGCGAGGCACCCCCTAGAGGCATGCGGGCTGTAGTAAGGCTGGAGGAGATGGGGACGGCCGGGCTCCAGCTCTTTTAGGCAGCAGCAACGGTGTAGTAACGGCGCCTACCAGAAACCAAAAGCCTCAGCGTTCCCCTTTTCCCGTTCCGTATTCTGTCAGGACGAGCTGGTAAGCTTGGGCGAAAAATGCGAAGCTGGAAGCCCGCTGGGAGAGCAAGCTGTGGTCAGATGGGCTGGGAGGGGAAACGCAGCCAGCAGCAAGGAGAGTCCCGTGGGACGCTGCAGTTGGGGTACCTCCAGAACCCAGGCAAGATGTGCTCCCTTTGCTAGTGACTTGGTTTAGACCTTGTTTTGTTTTGTTTTGTGAAAATCCCAGACTCAGTTTTTTGCAATTGCTCGTTCTCATCATCCACGACATCACAGCTTTTTGGTCCTGAGTAGCCAAGCAGCCCCTCCAGGCCAGAATGGAGCAGGATTATAGTTTGGGAAAGAGCTATTTCTCTCTTCAGAAAAGCTGCTTCCTCCGGGACCTTGACGCTGAGGTATCGATCCCCTGCTCCGAACCACCTGGGCTCCTCTCCTTGCATTCAGATCCACCCTTCAGAACCTGGTGAACAAGTTCTGTAGAAAACAGACCCGCACGCCTTCACTTTCTACCTCCTTCTCATTTTCTCCTTCCCGGGCCAGCCTTTTCCCTTTTGTGACCTCTTTTCCCACTATAAACCTGTTGCTGGCCTCTCCCAGGTGGGAACTTAGAAAATAATTGCTGGGTCTATGAAGGCAGAGTTGGTTTTGTTTGGTTTATGCCATAGGGTATGCATCTTGAAGTATATTGCATCGCTGAAGTCTGTTATTATAATGAAGTAGCTCTCCATAATAGCAACTGTATCACAACTGGAGGCTAGCCCTGGATCTATCTGCGCCTCCAAGTTGGTATTTTCCTACACTTGGCCCCCCTGTCCAGGGAGAAACTTTCAAGAAAATGTCGATGGCCATTTTTAAGATCCAGCATAGTGACCTTATTTCTGTAATATTTCTAATATCCCTAGGCATGTGGAAAACATGGCTAAATCTTTGTAGGGAGAGAACCACACCTCTGACAGAGCTGAATGGGAAAAAAAAATATTCCCTGATGCTTCGTAGACTAAACCTCCTAAAAAAAGAGAAATGGCCTCTGCTGAATGACGCTCCTGAGATTTGGATTTCATATGCCAGGGGCACGCTCCACAAGAGGTAGGTGACCACAGCTGGGTGACCATATGCACCTGTGACCCCAGAAACATTAATTTCTTTTAGTATTCACAAGGACACAAGACCTCCAGAGATGTTTGAAATACTCCTGTCACCTGCACTCTGCCATGTACCGTCACCCCACAACAGGAGACATGTCTGACCCTTGTTCTGCCAACAGCTGAGCAGTTGCTTAAAGATATTCCTGAAGTCAGTGGCATTGGTCATGCAGTTAAGACCACTGAGAACAGGTTGTGTGTTCGAATGAGTCCAGCTGCAGAGATCTGGCAATTTTGACAGCTGCATGGATCTTCTGTTGGAACTGTTAGGTTGACCCCCTGCGATTTTCATCTTCTGTGCCTCTTTCATGGTTCGTGCTCCTCCGGGACTAAGTCAAACATCAATGTTACATTGCATAGAGGATGCAGCACTTCGCAGTTCTGTCATTGCTTCGCTGTATTTCTCGTGCAGTGGGCCAACATGGCTGCTTTAGGATGCCGGGCTGTCAAATAACCTTTGAGAAAACCATGCCCTTGGTGATAAGACCAAAAAAAAAAAAAAAAAAGACTTTTTATTTTAAGGAACAGCAGTTCAGATTGCATGCAACTAATCAGCACCTTCTTTTGCTACAGTGTACTTTGCTAAAAGGAAATGTACGGCAGGTTCCTATCTCAAAGCAGCAGTTTACCGTAACTGTTCTTCTGGAGGAGGACGGGGAGAGGGAGCACTGGCTCCCAGGGCTTCGCTGAAGGGCTGGCACCGCTGCCGTCTTTTGGGGAGGCCTCACGCTGCGGCCCTTTGCAATAACAGGTTCTCTGCCCTCCCAGCAGCAGCTCTGGAGATGGGCAATGATGGCCCCCGTTGCTGATCTCCCAGAATTTCTCGTAGCACGGTGCCGTTTGCAAGGTCTGAGAAGCCAGCTGATTTACTCCAACTGAGTTTCCACCAGTTTATTTTCCATATAGCACACATGCCTACAGTGGCATACGGATAGCAAGTGAGCTCCTAGCCAAGGATGATTGTTTCCAAGAAAACTCTCTCTTTCCTACCAGCATTGGAAATCCCACCTTCTCATTATAAGCAGCGTCTTACACAATGCCAAACAAACTGCAAGGAAAACAGGATGCTATTTTCATTTCGGGGTCACGACTGATATTTATGGGGAGAGAAATGACAGAATGGAAAAACTGCGAATAGTGACTGTGGCAAAAGGTGCGTGTCCTTAGGTCCCCTGCCTCCTCCTTTACTTATAAAAAGGGCCGTGGAAGAAAATGAAACAGGCATCTGCTAATTAACAGATAGTGTAATTTCTCTAGAAAAAGGAAGTGGGGATTTCTGGTTTGCCTAATCCTGAACTGGTTTCCTGTGAAGATAAATGGGTTTTCACTTTGCCTTGTTGCTTTTGACTTCCACTTTGCCAGGGAAGCAAAGCAAGCTGCAAATAAATAGACAAAGCTTTAAGCTGTGTCATTTGGCCCCCTTCAAAGAGCAAGTATCAGCCAAGGAAGCAAGGTGGTTTACTTCTTTTTCCCATGATGCAAAATAAAACATTTTCAACTTTAGTGTCAGCTCTTCTGGGAAAAGTTGCAGTTCTGGTCACCGGTGGCTGGAGAAAGGTTAAAAAAATGTGGTGTTGGGAAAAGCTCCTTGAGAAATGAGGCCTTGGAATCACACCTTTGCTCTTCTTTATGTTTGGCTTGGACTTTCTCTTAAGCTTCATTGGTGATTTTAAAGCCATTTTAAACACTAGGAACAGAACTGTATGGCTAACTCACTGCTGAAAGGTACTGAAAACACAATGCTAAACTTTGTTTCAGTCAGGTTTGGACCCTCCTTGCTATTCTGCCCTCCTAAATTAAAATTAAGCCACTTCTGCTCAGTTTTAGCTGGTGTGATACTAGCTTAGCTTTTCAGAAAAAGTCTTTCTACTGGAAAAAATAAATGTATTTGCAAGGATTTGAGGAAAGCTGGTCTGCTCTGTCAGCTGATGGCTAGAATTATACTGTGTGATACATACAGTTCCTATTTTCACAAGACTCATCCTAAACCCAGTGTAAGAAACAGCTGTTCCTGGCTGTGTCTGTTGAAACCAAAAGCAATACTACACTTTCACAGCATAATCCTGTTAGGAAAGGTGGAATATGTTTGTCTTTAAATAAGAAAAAGATTCTTTAAAAACTGTGAAGAGATGATAAAGGTTGGGAGAATGATGCTAGGGAGCAATTCTTAAGGCAATAGTCACTCACATACAGTTACACGGATGGTAACAGGGTCATTACAACTCCAAGTCAGTTAATCTGAACAGGATTAGTCAAAGGACGATGAGGGGTTCGTTTTCTGCATGTACAGTACTGGTAGTAGTGGTGGAAAAAGCCTTCATCATCCATGAGCAATTTTTGTCA